CCAGCAATCCTCTTAAAGAAACATCTATGTAGCTAATCTGACAGATGTCCTTGCAAGAAAATTCTTGTTTTTACAGGGACGGGAGTGGAGGGATGAGTGGAGACCTTTACTTGAAAGCCCATGACATTTATGACCTGCTTATTTCTTCCACAAGAAATTGATTTCTAAGTTATTCTATTCAGCGTTCAGCCCACCACCTTAATTTGAAACTCTTTGAAAAGGAATTTGCTTTCGGAAACAACCCCAAACTTTTCAGAAGATGGTAGGACTCTTGGCTTCGAGAAAGCCAGTACGGAATCACCAAAACAGAGCCTCTTACCTGGCTCCAGTGTGGGTCCCGACCTCCTTCCTTCCAGAGAGGGGAATTTGCTGCAGGTGTTCTGGGACTCTAAGAATAAAAGCTCAACTGTTCAAAGAAACATCCTGCCCGTTCACCTCAATCTCTCACTGCACACCAGTAGCACAACAGTGCCAAGAGAAAACACTCTACAGAAAATGCTCATGCAGCACAAAACCAGAAAGCAATGAAGAGGACCCCTAATGAGTCATTAGGAATCCCTTGCAGATGTCTGTCTTGCAAGGCAGTTTGGAAAGGCAGCCACCTAACAAGGAAAAGCCCTGCAATCTTGGAGCAAAATCCTGCCACAAGCCAGATCATCATTTTAGAGAAGGTCATTAGCAATGGTCCTCATGGCTTAGAAAATCCCTGTAGGTAAAAAAAAAAAAAAAACAGTGCTGTCAAGTCAATTCCAACTCATAGCGACCCTATAGGACAGAGTAGAACTGCCCCATAGGGTTTCCAAGGAGCTGCTGGTGGATTCAAACTGCTGACCTTTTGGTTAGCAGCTAAGCTCTTTAACCACTCCACTACCTCTAGGTAGTTACATGGAATTCCCTTGGATCTCAGTCAAAATCTTGTTTCAAAGTGAACATGTGCAGAGCGTGCAAAGAGAAAAGACAGAGTCTAAGGAGGTTTTTTGGAGCCCTGGTGACACAGTGGTTAAGCACTCCATGGGCAGTTCAAATCCACCAGCCACTCCTTGGAAACCATATGGGGCAGTCCTACTCTGTCCTATGGGGCCACTGTGAGTCAGAATCTACCCGACAACAACAGGTTTGGTTTAGGGAGGTTTTGTTTTTCTTGTTTTTGGTATTGAGTTATTTTTCTAGGCTTCCAAAGAAAGTGGGCTTATTTGCAGTGCTGAGAACACCGTAGACAGTTAAAACACAAAATGATTTTCAAGTTTAATTTAAATTTCACCCTCCTGGCTATTCGTGTTTGTATTTCCCTTCACTTGAACAATAAAGTAGCTTGGACGGTTCCAGGCCTGTGGCTCAGCCTTTTAATTTCCTGGCCATCATGCTCAGCTGCTTACTCTGTATCCTGTCTGCCATTAGCGTAGCAGCCAAATTTTTAAACTGTTCGGTGGTATCTTTAGCCCAATATCACTGCAATATTCTGTGTATATGTCATCCTGTCACATCCATCCAAACCAAAGTTTGATGACATCCGGCCTCCTCGACACTGTAGCAACTGCTCTCACACTCTGTTAACCACTCCGTGACAACTTAGAGACAGCAATTCTTCAAAGACATGGCCTGCATCTTAAGCAGAATGAAAAGGGCACTAGAGAAATTCTAAATCCTTCCACACGTTTGAAGAAATTTGTTCTTTGCTTATGCTAGGACTCTGAGGCTCAGGAAAATATTTTCCAAATAATAAGGAAGTCATTTCTAGTATTCTGAAACATCTTTCTTTTTTCAGTGGACTAAGGAGCTTTTATCATCAAGAGTAGTTTCTTTGGAAGTAGATCTTGGTACTCATGGCGCCATTAACTTGCCAGTGCGTGAATCAGCCTGAGTGTGTTCATCTTTTCTTAACCATCTGACTGTATGTTCTCTCATGCTCTTGTTTCTCTCCAGACTGGGCTGTTTTGTTTTCAGATTAGTTGCGTGTACAGCTAGCATGATGGATGATTCAGGGCTGAGAGAAGGAAGATCCATTTCCAAAAACTAGTATCTTCACATGCAGACTTCCCTGCTGTGGATTTTTAAGCTTAATTGCGTCAAAAGTGGGTATCACATGGAAACACAAATATATATTTTTAGATGGCATTCGACTTCAACATGTCATTTTGGGGAAGAATTTATACATAAGAAACGTTTACACAGCTCCTACCAGCACTGTGATAAGTGCATTAGAGAGGCAAAGATGAATTACAGCTTCCACCCTTCAAGGAATTTACGATCTGGAAGAGAAGGTGGAGGAAACAGAAACATACACAAATAAGAGAAGAGTATGAATATAAGGGGGAGAGATCCATGAGTAGCCTGGGAGTAGGGTGGGTGTTAGAGAGTCTAACCGGGGTTTCGAGGCATGAGGATAAACTAGATGGATGAGAAGCTACTTTAAAATCCCATCTCAGCAGTTTATGTTAGAGTCATTGTCAGATTTTAGGATAGGAGATTAGATAAGATTGGGGAGCGTCACTAGACACCCATGAACTTCCAAGCAGGATAATGTTATGCCAGCCCAAGTCACTTTATCATCAAGAAAGCATTCAGGAATAAGCTACGAAGTGTGGGAATTACTAGGTCAGGGGTCAGCAAACTATGGCCCACCACCAGTTTTTGTACAGCCCACATGCTAAGAATGTTGTTTCCACTTAAAAATGGTTGAAAAAAATCAGAAGAAAAATAACATTTCATGCCACTTGGATGGACCTTGTAAATATTACGTGAGTGAGATAAGCCAGACACTAACAGACAAATATTGTATGATCTTGCCTCTACAAAATATCTAGAATAGGCAAGGAGCCCAGGTGGTGCAGTGGTTAAGAGCTTGGCCACTAACTAAAAGGTCAGCAGTTCAAATCCACCAGCTGCTCCTTGGAAACCCTATGGGGCAGTTCTACTCTATCCTATAGAGTCGCTGTGAGTCGGAATCAACTCGAAGGCAACAGGTTTGGTTTTCATCTTAGGATAGGCAAATCCATAAAGACGGAAAGCAGATCAGAGGTTACTAGGGGCTGGGGGAAGACAGGGATAGGAAGTTATTGCTCAATGGACACAGAGTTTCTGTTTGGCGTAATGAAAATTTTTAGAAATAGGTAAGGGTGATGGTTATACAACATTGTGAGTGTAATTAATGCCGCTGATCTTTGTACGCTTAAAGATGGTTAAAATGGAAAATTTATGTTATATATATTTTGCCACAATAAAATTTTTTTTTAATGGGGATACTGATGGGACCTGCCACACGAGTTTAGGAAGGATTAAATGAATTATTACACATAAAGTAGCAGGACTAGTAGCAAGGCACTCGCCTTAGGCAAAAAATTTAAGGGGATGCCAAAAAACTCAGTAATCAAGATAAATAATATTTTAATGCACTCTTTTTTAAATTACAATTAATGCCAGAAAAATCCTTAGTGGACAAACTACCAACATTTAAATAAAGACAGAACCAGTGTTGTGAGTTGCCATCAAGTTGACTGCGATTCATGGTGATCTCATGTGTATCAGAGCGGAGAGCTGTGCTCCACAGGGTTTTCAGAGCTGTGATCTTAAGGCAGCAGATCACCAAGCCTGTCTTCTGAGGTGCCTCTGGGTGGGTTCGAACCTCCAACCTTTTGGCTAGTAGTCAAGGGCTTCACTGTTTTCTCCACTAACTCCAAAGACGTAATTAGCATCACTGATTTTTCCTTTTGCCTCAGGCTCCAACATGGTTTGGTACAGCACTGCTAGTGACCAGAGCCACTTTAAGTACTGTGAAGTACTTATAACAGTGCTTGGCACATACCCTGGTGGCTTAGTGGTTAAGAGCTAGGCTGCTAACCAAAAGGTCAGCAGTTCAAATCCACCAGCCACTCCTCGGAAACCCTATGGGGCAGTTCTACTCTGTCCTATAGGGTCACTACAAGTCAGAATTGACTCGACAGCAACAGGTCTTGGCACATACCAAGTACTTCAACAAATTTTAGTTGTTATTACCATCCACCTTTTCCAAGACCTCTACCAGGCCACTGGAGAGAAGTCCAGCCTTACAATCACATACCAGAAATAAGAATTTCTCTAAACAAACGAAACTAATCCAATCTATTCTGTTCTTATAATGGGGGGTTTAATTCTCTGTCTATCACCACCGAGCACTGAGTGCCTTCTATTCTCTCTTTCCCTCACCAATGACTCACCAATCCCAGAGGCAAGCGCCTTAAACTCACGGTTTTGGGTGGTACAAACGGTTAACACACTCGGCTGTAAACTGAAAGATTAGAAGTTCAAATCTACCCAGAGACACCTTGGAAGAAAGGCTTATAAAAAACTAGCCCCTGAAAGACTGTGGAGCGCCCTTCTGTTCCGACACACATGGAGTGGCCGAGAGTCAGAATCAACGTGGCTTCTCAACTGAGGCATTGCTGAGAAAAAAGGAGAAACAGCTTAAGTCCTGGTCCCCCTCACTATTTTCTAAGATTATTCAGTGTGGCAACAGTAATAAGAGATGACATTTATTACATGCTTGGTGCGATGTCAGGGACTGTGCCAAGAGTTTTGTATGAGTCAAAGACGCTGGGAGGTTGGTACTGTCATCATCCCCACTTTACAAATAATGAAGTTGAGACCCAAGAGGTTAAGTAGTTCACAGCTACAGAGTGAACCACTAAGGCTGGTTTCTTTCCCCTGGGTCCACATCCCTTTCCCAAGTGCCCGTCTTCTCCACATCTACAAGAAGGCTTACTTTAGCTCTTTTCCCACTCATTCACTTTTGCCCAGTGATCTGGCTCTTTTCCTCAATTCCTGTAGGACCAGATTAAAGCCTTCCATTTTTCATCAGTCATAATTTCTACTAAGCACAAAAGACCTTGCTTTCATCTTAGTAACCCTTTCTCATTAATTCAAACCACCACCTCCTCCTTCTTCTCTCTATGTTAGATTCAGCAACCAGAAGAATATGGGAAATTCGGTCTCCTTCAGAGGCATTTCTCTTAGTGTGCACCCACCTTTCACCTGTTCTAGGAGGGTCTGATCAATGTTTCCTTGACCCGCTCCATTTTCTTCCATAGTCAGCAGCAGTGTCTTTAGCCTTAATAGAAAAGTAGACACTTTGGCTCTCATTCAATGAAAAATAGCAAGAAATTCGCGACATTCCCCAGTGGTAATTCCAGATTCTCTAAATACTTGGCCTCAATGTCAGAAGCATTATTCACCTTGAAGCCACAAATGACTTCAAATATGGTGCCTCTGACTCTTCATCAACCCTCTCCTCTCTCATTCAGTACTTTCCAGTCTTGCCCCATTGCAATAGTCAGCCTCATCTATTGTTCATAGACCTTTTTCCAAAGCTGGGATAACACTATTGTCTTAGTTGGGGTTCTCTAGAGAAACAAGAACCACTGAGATATATGTATGTATAGAGAGAGAAATTTACTTCAAGGGATTGGCTCATAGGATTGTAGGGCAGGCTGCAGGTTGGAGACTCCTAAAGGTTTGCCTCTCAAGATCTGTAGGTCAGGTTATGGGAAGAGTGCAGAGTCAAGAAAGTGAGTTCTGCCAAAATATCTATTTATAATCCGAGGGCAGACCACACTCTAAGGAAACTCCTCTTTCAGCTGATTGTTGATTACATTAGATTACATTATGGAAAGTGATTACATCACTTGACTTTGCATTACATTATGGTATGTTACATTGCATTATGTTACATTACATCATGGAAGAGCAACTAGTCTAGTGTTTGGCCAAACCACTGGGAATCATACCTTAGCCAAGTTGACACACAAAATTAACCATCCCAACTACCTCGAACACTCTCAGTTTTGAATACCTCATTGTTTATACTATAGGATGAACAGCCTTCTACATGGCTGATACAACAATATATTGACCAATGGAAGCAGACTCAGACTTGAGACCATGAAGCTTTTCTTAAACTCAAGGACCCTGGTCACATCAGACTGCCCACTCCTATTGATCCAAAAACCTGGATAAGGGGTATAAATATCTCTTTCTATAGACTGTTCTTTCCTGATATGTTAATGAGAATAATAGAGTAATTAAAAATTCTTACAAACTTCCATATGCATTCTCTTACCTCCTCTACAGGAAATGAGCAGAATCTTAGCTCGCAAATGCAACCATTCAATAAAAAATCTACTTTTTTTCTATACTTCAAGTTAGTTTTTTGAGTTCCTATTCTACTGGGATGACAGAAACTTAATCTCAGAATATCTCTCCTTCCTTACCTGTGGATATGTTTATGTTAGGGGAGTGACTTACTTGGTGCTAAGGTGTTGGGTAGAGAAGGAGGGGGGTGGTCTCTCCATTCTAGGTCATCAGTCTACCCAAGAACTACTAAGATGGCTTCCACTGCTATCCAAGTGGCCTTATTCAGGCTGAGTGGCTCAAGCCCTTAGTGCTGGTTCCCTGCCGCACCTGTATGCACAGGATTCACTCAACTGCTTTCTGTAGTTGGCTGGGAATTAGGAATCTCCATTTGGCTGTCTGTGGTCCACCCACCTAGCCTTAAATTTCAGCCATTCCCTTGCTAGTGCCTTCTCTTTCCCCAGGACACCCTTCTCTTTCAGCCTCACAAATCCAACTAACGTTTTGCAGATTTCCTAGGACTCTGCCCAGAAAGCAGGGTCCCAGGCACTCCCATTATCACTCTCTGGCTTTCTGGGAAAGGTAAGATGAGTATTTTTATTGTGTGAACAGCTGCAGAGGAGGGTGAGGTCCTGCTCTCAGAGTCCGTGTTCCCATATCCTTCATGATGTAAGCAACAAATTACAAAGATGGCTGCAGTTCTTCTCCTTTCCCTGTAGGCAGCTCCATTGCAATGTGTCTTCGTGACTCCTCCCTTTAATCTGGGCTGCCCTTGTGACTTGCTCTGGCCAACAGAACGGAGCAGAAGTGACATCATGGCAGTTCTGGCCTAGGCCTCAAGGGGCATTGCACACGGCTGTCATCTCTCTTGGAATCCTAACGCCAAACCGTGTGAAGAAGCCAAGGGTAGCCTGTTAGAGGATGGGAGACACAGGGCCAATTTTCCCAGTCATGCCCACCGATTACGAGCCAATCACTAGACATGGAATGGAGGCCAGCTGACTGACCGCAGACCCTCAGATAAACCCAGTCATGATCAGCTGAGCATGGCCCAGATCAGCAGAACAGGGCAACAGTAAATGGTATTTGTGTTATGCAGCTAACTTTTGGAGTGATTTGTAATCCAGCAAAAACTAATACAGTGTTTCTTCATAACAATTTTCCTTGCTTCATATCTTTGAATTTCCCTAAGATATTAGACTTTTTGGAGTCTCCGGGTGGTATAAATGGCTAATGCACTCAGCTGCTAACCAAAAGGTTGGAAGTTTGATTCCAACCAGAGGCACCTCGGAAGAAAGTCCTGGTAATCTACTTCGAAAAAAATCAGCCATTGAAAATCCTGTGGAGCACAGCTCTACTCTGACACACATAGGGCTGCCATGAGTCGGAATTGACTGGATGACAACTGGTTGTTTTATTAGACTTTTGAAGCACTTACCTCTCATTTTCTCCCCTTAGCAGTAAGCTCGGAACCAAGGATCTGCTTGAATTACAGGGAGTGGAAAGTAAAGGATGAATACCTGGAGGAAAAAGAAACAAGCAAAACCTGTTACCACACCCGAATGTCTTACCAAGTACGCTTGCTAGGATTCAGGGCCACCAATTGTAAGAGCTCGCCAGCCTCAGGTTCATCAACGTCTACTTTTATAGCCAAAACCGGCTGTGATTTTTTAAATTCCTACTCTTAAGTGTGCACAGTCATGTAAAATGGTTACAGCCACTGCCTCAGGCGTCAGTGAAATTCAGTTCTGAGACACCATTCAGTGAATTTGGGAAGTCCACTCTTCCTTCTCTCCGGAGTTGCTCCTCCCCAGATATGGCCAAGGAGCAATACTGTGAGAACACTGGCTGACCTAACCCACCAGGTCCATTTGCAGTATTATTACCCATAAGTCTGGTCAGTTTCCCAAGGCCCCGTTGTCTCCTGCTGATTTTCCACAAAACGACCCCGTTCACGCGCACACGCGCGCACACACGCACGCACACGCACGCGCACGCACAGTATCACCCAGACTCTGTATGTTTCAGAGTCAATGACGAGTTCTGGCACTATCATGTGTTGAGCTCACAACCAAATCCCTCTCACTGATTTTTTTAAGGTTGGATACAATCCTCTCCCCTAACTCTCTAGAAAAACAGCAAATGGTTCAGAGAGGCAGCCTCAGCTGCCTCTTGATGGGAATGTGCTCAGTTTCTGCTCCTAAATTCAACCATTCAAGAAATACACTTCTTTATTTTCTGTATTACAACTTGAGCTCCTCAAAAACAAAAAAAAATGTGGATTATTCAATCATAAATATTTCCACGTGAGGCAGTAACTAAACAAGTTAGTTTTTAATTGAGAGACAGCTATCGACGTTCTCCTTCACTGCACAGACCAGAGGTGAAGACTCCATTTACACGATGAAAGAGCAGAGTCTGGACAGGGATAAGTGGTGACAAGTTTTCTCTGAGAATCGTAGACAGCTTCTAGTCTTCCATACAGAAATAAGTGACCCACCCTAGAATACCCCCAACCCCCCAAAAGAGCCATTTAACTCCAAGGGTTTGCAAATTTTTATTTACAGGAACTGAAATTACTGGCAAACCCTTCCCCCAAAAAGAGAGTTCTCTGCCTACACTTTTAAAAATGGCATTCCTTCCTTTTTGGGCTCCCCACTATGGCGTTTAATTTTTCCAGATCTTTAAATACGTGATGCATTTGTATCTGCCTGGGAAGGATGAACAACTATTCTGCCTTCAAGCCACATATAAGCTGTATTATTCTCTGATCTCGTAATTCTGGCCACACGTAGAATATTTCCCGCTAGAGTTTCTACCAATTCTCAGCTTCTTCATTAAGGAGCAGAGAATGAGAAGTGATTGCTTGAAAGTCCCATAGAGGCAGGAAGGGACATTAGACCCAGGACTCGGGAGTGATGCCATTTTTGTCCTTTAACCAGTAAACGGCCTTCTCCCTTTGAAAATGACAGCGAGAAAGAGCATGGCGAATCTTCGGGAAGGTTTACCATCTTTTGGTTTGTTAAGAAAATAACACCCCACACTTTTCTGAATTCCCAACCCTCAATAAGCGACATTGAACCTTTGCCCCTGCTATGACAAATTACTACTTGAAAAAAGTTACTTTCACATTGAGACAGTTTCTACAAAGAAAGAGGGCACATTTCCACACTAGATGCCTTATTTCCCAGAACACTATGCCCATTTAGGAGAAAAGAAGCCCAGCTGGGGTTCTAAAGAACAGAATCTTTGGTGGTTCCGGCTGTTGCGTTACAAAGCCACAAATAAAAGATCTATATAAATAGACATTATAACCAACTTATGAAGAAAGCCTAAAGGCAAGATGTGTCAACGGCTTGGGAAATGCCCAGATCTTTCCTTTTCAGCATTGTTGGAAAGAAAGACTATGAAGAACATTATGTCTAATTTTGCTTTCAGCATTGGCTTAATAAGAATGGCTACATTGTACAACACACTCATTATTTGTCTACTTCGAGTACATTAAGTCAAGAGCGTCTCTACTTTCACCCATCACCTAAAGAGTTATTTTTGAATACGATGTGTTATGTTTTACCTAGTAGAGTGTCCTTCCTACAAAATGCACCTAAAAATATGACTCTAGGTTAAATAAATAATAATAGTGATCAGAGAAAAATGAGATGGTGTTAGGCAAGAAGGGAAAAGATCATCTCAAGCTGAGTTTTCAAAAGCAATGTGGAGTTAATGAGGCGGATACATTCAGGATGATGATTGCAAATGACAAGTGTGACGGAAAATATCTCTGTGCCAACAGAATTGTCTCAGGCAAAGAGAATTACAGGAAAATAAGAAAAGTTTGAAACTCTGAGCCACATCTTTTCATGGGCAATAAAGAACTGAAGAACTTGTTTTCACGCACGTATATGTTTTTCTGGACACATGGAATAATTCTAAGCAAGCTACTCTCATTCTCTGCCCAACATACAGAGTTTAGTGTTTGTCCTACATAGGGCGGCAGGAGGGGAAATCTCCGTGGAAGAAACTTGATGTTCAGCCTGAAGCGCAGTTGACAGTTCCTTACTGGTCTCCCCCAAACAAGCCTTCACTTCATCCATTTCTGAGTCTTCTTTGTAAGAGAGCCCTTCTCTGTCTTTGCCTCTGATCTCTCCTCGTAAGTTAAAATCTATAATGAGTCAATACCATTCCACCCACCATGAGACCATGTTCCACTCCCTTCCACAAAGAGAAAGAATGTGTGACTTTACAGATGACCTTTTCTGACATGGATGTATCACATGCCTGGCATTTAAAATGGAGAGACTTTGACAATTATTACCAATACCTTAGGAGCATGGGCCACCAAAGCTTGGGGTTATTATTCTGTCTTCTCCCCATTTACCACATTAAAGTCTCCCCTGCTCTACAGTGTATAGAGGGTCAGAATTTAATACCATTACCCAGTTGCCTAGCTGTAGAAGGCATTGAAATGCTCAGATCGAGCTTACCTCTTTCTTAGACATCTAGAATTGGTCATTTTTCTTCCTCTGTGCAATTTAACCATGATGTGGATATTTGAAGAAATGCCTAGTGATGAATGATGGTGAAGAAATACTATGGATCTAAAATGGGTTCCCAGTTCATTTATACCTTTTTCATCCCGCAGATTTTATTGAGTATTTCTTATGTGCCACAACAATGGATTCCAACAGGCTGGCAATTACGAGGGTGACACAGGACCGGGCAATGTTTGGTTCTGTTGTACATGAGGTCAATGTAGTCGGAATTGACTCAATGCAGCTGTCTACCTATCTGTCTGTTTCTCTGCCTGCCTGCCTATCTATCCATCCATCCATCCCTCCATCATCTATCTATCTGTCTGTCTGCCTGCTTGGCTACCTACCTATCTATCTATCTACCTACCTATCTTATCTATTTATGTATCTATTTATGTATCTATCTATCTATCTATCTATCTATCTATCTACCTACCTGTCTATCTAACTATCTGTTATCTATCTTACATGTCTGGAATTGTGTTTGAGGCTGGCAACATAAAGATGGGGAATAAGGCCCTGCTCTTAGCAACTCAGTCTGAAGGAGACATCAGTATATAAATTACTGTGATAACAATGTGTTATCACGCTGGGTGCTTTTGGAGACAGAGACTTCAGGCACTACCTTCTCAGAGCCTCCAGAAGGAAGCAGAGGCAGCTACAGGGACAGAGGGATCACAGGTTCTCTATCTGTACAAACTTCCCGTCTGCTCTACTCTGCTCCCCTCTGTGGAGGGGGTCCAGGCTGTCTCCACCTAGTGCAGAACAGGATGGTTGTCTCCTCCCTGTCTGGGGATCCATCCTACTGGCCCAGAGCCACCCACCAGGGCAGCCCAGCCTGCTGCCTGCTATCTGCTGCCCCCTACAGGGCCCATGGTGAAGGGGCTCATTAATTTCCAGGGACATTTTCTCAAACCAACGGAGCCCCTTCCTGAAGCTTAGGGGCCAGTGACTTCAAGTTAATGGTGGTGGAATAATCTGGAAAAGGATAGTGAGCATACTTACACAACTTGAAGAATGTAAGCAGTATCTCTGAATTGTACGTGTCGGATTTGTTGAAATGGTGTATCCTTTGCTGTGTATGTGTTGTTGTTAGGTGCAGACGAGTCGGTTCCAACTCATAGTGACTCTATGTACAATAGAACGAAACACTGCCCCATCCTGCACCATCCTCACAATCGTTGTTATGGGGTGCCTGGTGGCACAGTGGTTAAGAGCTCAGCTGCAAACCAAAAGGTCAGCAGTTTGAATCCACCAGCTGCTCCTTGGAAACCCTATGGGGCAGTTCTACTCTGTCCTATAGGGTCGCTGCAAGTTGGAATCGACTCTACAGCAACCAGGCTGTGTATATATGGTCATAAAAAGAAGATAAAATTTATATTAAAATTTTATTTAAAAAAATAAAGCAATTGCTGAACTGGCAGTGAAAAAGAAGGGAAGCTGAGGCAGTAACTCCGAGTCAGCATCCACAGGCCCCACTGTGCCTCAGGCAACCAGCTGTGAGTGCACGCTGACCTCCCTACCACAGGTATGAGCGTCATTGACAAGCGACCATACGGTTTTATATGTCCCCGCGGGAAAGGATTTTTTCCGAACACCACTACTGCCCTTCTTAGGACCCACTGACTTCTTTCATCTTTTCCAAGAAGTGACAACAGGAGTAAAACAGAATGCTGAACAAAGCCAATTATTTGTCTATTTTCTGTCTGAAAGAATAAAGAGTTCAACCAGGAGTGTGGATACTGGGGGACTAAGGGGAGGCAGCCTTCAGGAGACCAGGAGGCTCTGAGCACACTGAGCTTGGAGGTGGGAATCAGTCCCCAGTTCAGGGAAGTTTTCTCTCAGTCTCTGCCCCTCATTACAGCATTTGAGGAGAGCCCTCACAACGCCAGCCTTCCCTTCAGCCATTGTTATGAGTTGATTTGCATCCCCCAGAAAGGATACGTTCAAGCCCTAAAGCTCAGAAACAACGCGATGGCAACGGGTTT